TCTAATATCGCTCATGACAAATAAAAGAGAGGACTTGAGAACAAAAAAAATACTAAAGACAATATTACTTTAGAAGAGGGTAATCCACAACTTCTAATATGCTTATATCTTATCAAGAAAAAGGGATAATCCACTCTTAATCAAGATTAGACAAAGCTTTGATATTGTAGGTCTTCACTCTTGTCAATCTGTCAAGGACAAGAACTCGATGAAAAAGTAATTTAGACAAGTGAGCCTTCACTCAAAGAAAGGTAACAAAATATAAATAAACAAGTATGTATATTGAAAGAAAAACTGGAATCGCTATTGCCAAAAAGAAACTAGAGACCCTTGAAACTAGATTGGAAGCAAGAAAAGAGTTGACAAGAGTGAAGAAGGCTTCACTCTTGTCTCTATATATACTATCTAACTAAGGGCTACGTGGCGACATTCTATAGGACTTCTAATATGTGTTGACTTTGTAGGACACATGCCTTGACTTATAAGGCAAGTTTTTCTACGTGTGGGCCATATAATTAGCTTGGCCTTTAAACTAACAACATGTGTCATTCATGGCCAACTTGTTGACCACGTTTCTAATCCAAAAAGTCAATTAAAGACACCTATGAAGTCAAAGCAACATCTATGAAGCTTCTAAGAAGCTTTCATATCAAATACTATAGAATTAACTTACTTTTACTTACTTATACCTATTTGTATATGTAATTATGAGTGTGTCCGTGATAGGTGGTTGAGTACCTTTTTGAAGGTCAATTGCACAATTGTAAGGGCAATGCTACTGCATGATATCTACATTTTTCTTTTCAAATACATAAGCAAAATCCTTGTACGCCTCTGGAATTGTTGTTATAGCAACCACAGGTTCCGATTTTGGATTTGCGTAGATAGCAAACATAGTACCTTGTTTGGCCACCTTCACAAATGCTCTAGCTCTTACAAGTAAATATTATTTAAGTTTTGGCTCATCGGGTGTTAGAAGCTTATTCATAGATCTAAGAGTTCCATGATCTACTAGAAGAAATTCTAACTTTTGTGATACCCAATCTATCCGTGGATTGTATTTTTTAAGCCATGAGAGTCCTAAAATGATTGGACTTGATGATGATCTAATGACGTTGAATACTACTTGACTGCTATTGTTTTCAAAGATTATTTCTAATAGAATTGTTTCATGAGTGATGTCTCTAGATGATAAAGGTCGACCATCTATTACTTTTATATGTATAGCTTTGGATTTTTTGATTGTACAGATTTTGTGTGATCTAAAAAATTCTTTGTTGATAAAACATGTAGAAGCTATCGAGTCAAATAATGCATAAGAATCTAGTTTTGTAACTCCTAACTATACATGTATAGTAAAACAATGAGAAGGGCTGGCAGAGAGTACATAATTTTTTTTAGTTTGTGATAGTGAAGGATCTAGTCACACAACCCTTATTGTGGCTACACGTCCTCATTTTCCTCCAATGCTTTTAATGATGTGATTGCACTCTTCATTTGATATATATGCTGGCATTTCTTTGAACAATTATTAATTTTATGGCCAAATTTTCCACAATATAAGCATAGGCCAAGTTCCCTTCGACGCTTTTTTTCTTATTCAAAAAGAGGTTTGAAGCAAACTGCATCAATCTGTATATCTTCTACTTCCAACTACTCATTAGAATTGGATGGTGAAGAAGCCACACAATAATTGGTCTATACATGTGGCATAATTGAAGAACATTTATCTTCTCTTCATTGAAATAAATGGTTATCATACTTCATAGCTTTACTAATGGCTTCATTGAGTGTTAGAGAATTTGGCATAGACAACAATAAGTCCTTGACATCATCTCTTAATCTCCAATGAAATTGGCTCATCAATGTATCTTCTCTCCAATTTATATTACATGCTAATTGTCAAAAATTTGAGGCATATGTTGATACAAAGTAGATTCTTTGTCAAAGTCTTCGAATTTTAATTGTTGAAGAATGAACCTTATCATATTCACCAAATGCTTCTGCAAATGTTACCAAAAATGGTTTAAAATTGTACAATATAGGAGAATTCTTTTCAAATAATGGGGCAAATCAGAATAAAGCTTGACCCGAGAGCAAGGGTCTAACCAAATCAATATGAAAAGCTTCAACAGAATATCATTGAAGTTGAAACAAAGAAATTAATCATACTTTGCTTATAAAGCCACAAAATTTTAAACAAGTGCCAGGGAACTTTTCTAGAAGGCTGATCATTGGTTCTTTTGTTGTTATTGTTGTCAAATCTTTGTCTTGAGTGGATGCACTTCCCATGTTTGAAGTAGACATAATCGTTTAAGAATTTGGAATCTTTGTTGCGATTTGATGTGGTGGTTGAGGCACTTCGGCTCCTTGACCATTATGTATGGTCATATATAATTCTTCATTCTGCTTTCACAAAGTTTCTATCTTAATCATCAATGCTTCAAGAGCAATAATAATAGAATTTAACTTAATTTCTTTTGATTCTATCATATTGACTTTTTTATCTTCTGCCATAGAAAATGAAAGAAATATATACCTTCAAAAGAAAAAAACTTGATCTATGATATAAAAAAAAGAAATCAAAAGAATATTAAGAAAAGAACAATATTAGTCTTGGGGAGGGTAATCCACAAGCCTCTAGAATACTATAGTACTTCCAAGAAGAGAAATAATCCACTCTCTGTCAAGAAAGACCAAACTCCTAATATTGTTTTATGGCAGTTTCAACAAGCTATTAGAGACCATATACAAGATAAGGATTCAAGATCAAAGAATGGAGTTAACTCGACATTAAAAAAATAACTAGATAGAAGGCAAGAAGGTCTTAGCTAAACCATAAGAAGTAGGTTGTTGAGATTGAAGATCTCCTCAGCCTCGACTCCTATATATATTAGGTCCTAAGAAGCTTCTTGAGAAGTTTTTATGAAGCTTGAGAACAAAGTAAGCCTAAGATCCTTCTTCAACAACTTCCTAAATCATCTAGAGCCACCTAGAATCTTCTAGGACCTCCTATGACCTTCTAGAACTTTCTTAGAATCTAGTAGAACCTTTTGAAACCTTCTGGAACCTCTTAGAACCTTCAAGAGCCTTCTTAAAACCTACTTGTATCTTCTAGAACCTTTTGGAACCTTCTTCAGTTATATGTCTATGATAAAGCCACACTCTCCCTTACCACCTCATGAATAATTCCATCCATTGTCTATCTTCCTCTTCTATTCTCTATTTCCAATTCTTTATTCTATATTCCTCATTCTTCATTTCCATCTCTATTTCTTATCCCCAATCCCATGTCTTTTATTCCGAATCTCTCATCTCCCCTCTCATATTTCCAAACTTCTTCCTCCCATCTTCCATCTTTTGTTTTCAACCCTTGTCTATGTTCTATGTTTTCCATCTTTTATTTTTTCATTTATTTAGTAATAAAAATTTAAAAACTATAGATTTTTTTAAAATAGGTTTTTTTTCAATAAGTTGAGAAATTATTTATTGACATATTATATGACATTCTATTTATAAAAAAATTAATTATCTTAAAAAAATATTTTATTAAATAATATTAAATTTTTAAATTTTATTTATATATTATTTCTTACATTTTGTAATTGGAATTTTAAACCAAATAAAAAGATAAAGCTAAATCATATATATAAAAAATAACTTTAAAATATATTAGTTTTTGAATTAAAATAGAGGAATTTACTTCTTATATATATATATATATATATATATATATAATAATATTTCTTTATTAAGCTATTTTTAGTTCTCCAAAATATGTATATATTTTTAATATTATAATTTTTTATGTATTATTTTAATTAAATTTATTTGAACTATTTTTGAATTTAAAAATTAATTTGGATATCATTTTCCAATAATCATAACTAAATTTTGGTGATTTAATATTTACAATTTATAAAAGATTTTTTTTATTTAATATCTATGTAAAATCCTATGTTAATATAATTTTTATTTATTTTTTCAATTTCATTTTTATTTTTGTTGAATTGATGATATATAATTAACATATGTATGTACATAAATATATTTATTTATTAAATTTTAACTCTATTTTTTGTATTTTATGATATTTAAGAAATAATTCTTAAACGTTTCAAATTATCAATAAATATTTTCTAAAATAATATATAATTTTATTCTCTTCTGAATAAAATCTTAGTTTTGATCCCATTTCTTTTCAAAACTTTTCAACACTAATAAATTTCCTTTGTAACAAACTTAAGTGTTTATATAGTAGAATAAACAAAATAAAAACATAAGAAATATATTCTTGGAAGAAGCAAGAAATCCAAGCCTATGCCTTGAACAAGTTGGAAAGTAAACAAAAACCACCATAAATTAGCTGAATGCAATACTATAAAGAATATATTTCTTCACTTACATCATTTTATTCACATAAAACATATCTTTTATGTATTGCCTCCTATCAAGTATTATCTAACCAAATCTTATCAAAACATTTGTAAATGGCATAAATTACTTCAAACTTAGTTTGGGTCAAAAAATCCTATCTTGCACCATGTGCTTTGTAATGTGTGCCAACAAGCCATGTGGACATTCAACCATAGATTGTCACTTAGTTAAGTCAGCTATTGTCTAACTGTACAATATAATAAGACTAAAACTATGTCATTTTAGTACATTCATTCCATGACATATGACAGTTGCATTAATTAGTGTTTCATATTTCATGAAACTTAAAAAAGCATAATATCCACATGGCTTGATGGCACACATTAGTTCAAAAGCTGGTTGTGATTCCATGCATGAACAATGGGTCCTCAAATAGTACATGAAAAAACTTACCCAACTGCATGCATTGGGTGCACACAAACAACACCAGATTTGATGCCAAAGGTATTCTTCCATGATTGGATACCAAAACCCAACATTCCTTTTGATCCAAAGAAATTCATAAACAAGCTCAAAATCAGGTCAAATTTCCCACAAGCAAGTCACCAGATTTCCAAGTCTCAGAAGAAAGGCAAAAAAAGGTCTCTGCAAGTGGCATCAAATTACCACCCTGCATGATTTACATCAATGCTGCCAATCCAGCACACCCCATACAGGAAGCTGGCCCAAGCCCATAGAAAAGTTCCTGAACTGCTGCTTCAGAAGCTTGCAGATTCTCTGCCCATTCCTGGGAACAGAACTCCATAGCTGCTTGGAAACTGTGTCCCCACATAAACATATTACCTTGGGTTAAATAGAACATCCATAATCATAATTTCAGGTTTCACAACTCTGATGGAATATAATCAAAAGATGTTCCTAAAGTGAAAACATTTTACTGAGCTTTGGCTCAAAGAGGAGAAAAGATATTTTTTAATGCTTTAACAGGAAAAAGAAATTTAAGGATCACAAAAAACATCTACCTTTGGAGAACAATCATGAGAAAGAATAAAAGCAGAATCAAAGACCAGGGGTAGCTGTTCACCTACTGGGAATTGTTGTTGTTGCGATGTCACACAAAGTTGCAGTTCCCAAGTGTGGGCCTTAAAAGTAGAATTCATACCCAATGAGATGGGGCCCGGATGCCGATGCAACTTGATGCAGGATGTGCACTAGTGTCACATGTGGCGCATTTGAGTCTCAAGCCGTAACTGGTGTCAAGATATTTCTGTAAAACCAGGAATCGTTCAATTCAAAACCTGAAGACTGCTCAGAGGTCACTTCCACCTTACTCTTCTGGAAATGGTTACTAGTTCATTAATTCAAGTATACTATGGTTCTAGCATGTGTAAGTTACAAATAACTGCACGTTTCAATGATGAATTAACACATTCGTATTACTTCATGATTCCAATGAAGGGAATCTCAACTAGGTAATAAGTGTGCTCACTGAGAGTTGTACATGGAACTGTACAGTGATGCAGGCCACGCTGATAGCTAAGCACCTCTTTAAAAAACAAAATTCGTAGCTTTCGTGCAAGTTCCAAGGGCCAGACGCGTTGCAGATCAGCAGGCAATCCAAAGAAATAACCACAAAGTAGAGCAAATGCACGAGCAATCTGCATTCAAAATTCACACATGAAAGGAAGAGTTGATATAGAACCTATAAATGTTGCCCCTCATTGTTGAGCCTGTTTTTACTTTTAAAAAATCCCTATCACAAATGGTATAAACTTGAGCATTTGGCTATCGCAAACGATGTTACACACACCTATAGAACCTGCGGCAAATCTATGCCATTATAATGTACCTACTTAAGCCAGGATGTGACAAGGATTTGACCAACTTCAGCGATTCCTGTAACAGCCACACAAAAACTACATTAGCGCAATGGAGATAAACGTGCAAGGAGAAAGAGCGGATGCAAATAACCACCTTGGACGCGTCCAAATTATTGAAGCGTGTGTATACGGAAATACAATGTATGCTGCTGATCGACTTTTAAGTGATGTGGACTGTTTTACAAAAGTGAGACTCAAAACAAATTGTTCCTACGCTAATCTGAGCCATTGCATAAGCAAATTCTCACCATAAAGATAAAATCTGATAAACCTTGATTAAGCGATCTTTGACCAGCAAAACGACTTGAGAGTCGAGTCATGCAGATGGGAACAGTGCAGCTGAAAGCCACGCACGAAATAATTGGGACTAGTCACGAGTAAACGAAACTTGAAAAAACCAGTAAAAGTTCTCCTGAAATGTATTTTCACCAAAGAATTTGTCCTTCGATAAAGGCCTTCTACTGTACTAATTGAGTCATCCCAGGACCTGAGAGTTGGCCCCCTATATCCTTCCCTTTCAACAGAGTTGCGTCTTCGTGGCCAACCCACGGAAAATTGGAGACATGGAATATGCTTGCAACCCCCCGCCCGCTGGATCTGTCGCTTGGACCTGCCCGGAAATAGCGGCATTCGCAACGAATAATGTAGTGTAAAACCCTTCCTCGTTTACGCCGAAAGCGCAGAACTAAGCTTTTTTCTAAAGCTCGAGATTCCATGCGCAGTCTGTACTCTCTCATTCAAATTCAATTGCTTCCTCCATGAATCTGCTTCAAATAAAACATTTCTCATCCACCTGGATTTGTCGTTTAAGCCAGCTAGATGAACCATAAAGTCCCCTCGTGCATACACGCCTGCAATTATCGCCAGAGACAGATAGGTGAGCAGACAGCCAATGACAGGATACTGCTGTATTCCATAACCCAGTGGCGAATTGCACAATCTCTTTTTAAATGGAATTTGAAACAAAAACTTGCCTCGCCAAACCGCTTTCGTTAACGTGACCAGTCGATGACAACTACGCCACGAAGGTCTCCACAAATTTGAATTGAAGAGACACTGCATGTCAGGGATTCGCACATGACGACTAAATTCACCCTTGTCCATTACATTGAGAAGGTACTTCAGAGCGGTGTTGTCTCCACTTTTCGACTGACCAAAAGGTTGGATGAACTCTGTCTGATTCCACCAACGATCAAGGAACTCTCGACTCCAATCAGAGTTTCGGAAGAAGAACATTCCTACACCACAGAATAGACAGGTTACGGCCTCCAGATAGAAAACCGTCGATTATGAATCCAGCTCGACCAGCACATGGGGAACAGAGAGTAAAGGAGAAGTAAGCAAGGGCCTGTACTGGAACGCGAGAAATTTCACCTCTCAATACATAAATGCAAAGTTGTAGAGCAGCATGTAGGTATATACCTGCATTGACACCGGTTACGTCTTCAGTCACAATGAAGTCGGGCATCTCTTCAGGCTTCACATCACCAACGGCTGAGAAAACAATGTCCCCGAGCTTAATGTCAGGATTTGTCACGGCAGAGTCCTGCACCAATCAAAACATGCACCGTTGCATTGATTGAGAAACATTGCAAATTTGTAAGATGAAACCGCAGGGATGATTGTACTGAATAGCACTTTGAACACACGTTCCATGAGGTGATATTTGCCCGCTAAGAAACATACCGCATCGTTCCAAAACAACCAGTCATACTGGGAGAGGTGCTCCTTGACAGCCAAAATTTTGCTCCAGCTGGGAGGTCGAGAAGAATCCAACAAGCTGCTTGCATCGATAAAGTCATACCCATGCCTTTCCACATAAGCCTCTTTGTTTGGCGCAACTATTTCCATCACTCCCTCAAAAGATCTCCCAGGAATAGTGGACGATCCATCGGAACATGTCACCATAGCGAAATTCAGTAGTTGAAAGTATGCCGGCGTATTTCCTCTCTTGGGCAAGCATTGTCGTCCAAAATCGTTGGCGTTTCTAAGAATAATGGATGTCGAAGAGAATCCCAGAGCACAAATGACTAAAATCACGCAAATTAAAACTAAAATAGCTCGGGAAATAGATTGCACGGTGGACCAATAGTGCCGAAAACTGGCTTCTTTCTTGAAGGATTCCCGAGAACGTAAGCGCGCTGCACACTCAGAATACATGCCTTTGAATCTCCTCTGCGGAGAAATACCAGTCCCCTCAGCCATGGTGATATAAGGTGTGGAGTAGATACCAAACGCTAATTCTCACACAAATCGTATGATTCTATCAAAATCTTAGCATCTAATCGCTACCGATTTACATTCCTTGTAGGCCACGCTAAATAAATAAAATAAAAAAACTGCTTGCCAGTCGGGATGTTGAATGGTCTCGGGAACAGGGCGGTTAAGATTCCAGCGAAGAAATCTGTAAACTTCTAGGCTCTTATCAAATACTAGCCTCAGATGGAGGCCCGTAAAGTTCAGATATTCCTGCATCCCAAATGAGAAAACCCGATCCACATGTACACATTCTGAGGAGTGTCCCGTAATCAGCTACACGAACACCGCATTGCCTACACTGACAGTGCACAACAATGTGCAGCCATTGCCTATATAAAATAGCCAGAGGACAAATATTCACCAAATCAAACCCTTATTTCTCATACGCCACTCATGCCTGAATGCTAACTTGTTCAACGATCAGAATCCCCATCTCCACGCAAGAGCGGGAGATAAGCAACACTCGTGGTTCACAGAAAGTGCTTGAAGTCACACAAACTCTGTCACATACAGGGGCGTAGAATCAAGGCCACGGTTAAGGATGATGCTGCACGCAAGTGCAGTGAAGTTATTGATGTCATGCACTCGCCGTCACCAGCAAAGGTTTCCTCGACCCTTCGCAACCGACACTATCCCTCTCACCGACTCCACAAGTACAAGAATCGACACGAGTAGGGAGGGAGGAGAAAAGAAGTTAAAATAAAATTAGAAAAGGTGCAGGAGGAGCACTTTCGAAGAGTGCCTCTCCGCCTCGTTGACAACGCAGACCACAAAAAACGTACATACACCTTGAGTGGTGCTCAGCAGCAACCCCCCCCCCCCCTGCAGCACTAAAATCGGGACTATCCAAAATCTCCGAGGCGGGCTCGTGGTGGTCACGCAGGAGGATGGCTACCGCGTTGGCGACGGCGATGGAGGGGGCGCAGCGGTGGAGACAGTCATGGTGGATGCCATAAAATCCGCCTGTTCCAACGGCTCTCTCCAACCGCGTCCAAGACCGCCGTTGAAGCACTCGATCCCCGCGTCTCCCTCCCTCTCCCTCTACTGGCTCCTGTCGCGACTTCCTCTTGATTTCGCATCCATGGTGGACAAACTCAAGGGCTCCATAGCCAATATTAGTACGCTACATTCACGCTCCGTCTCAGACTCCACCTCCACCTCCTCCTCATCAATTTGAGAGTCCCCTCCCTCTGCTGTGATAGCGGCCTCGGTGTGAGGTGCCCTCGCGACGGCGGCACTGCGACGACGCCTCAGGAACGTCGTCGCACGAAGAAGAAGACGAAGACGACGAAGACGAAGAAGAATTCCATTTCCGGGCTGGCAAGGGACGGCAAGCGACACGCTAGGCGAGGGGTTCGTGACATGTCTTCTGCCTCTGCGCTTCGAATGTCCGGGGTGGTTATGGGCCCCGCCTCTTTCACGGGCATCGGCACGCCACGTGTTCGACACACCAATGTTGCCACTCACGAAGATAGTGCAACTCCCCCCCCCCCTCCTGAGTGTGGTCTTGCACCCTCAAACTCCTTTTCTCGCTCCGCCCTCGCCCATCTCCGTTCCGGTTGATGTTGTCATCCAGGGAAATTGGGATTTTCTGTTACATCACAAAAATAACGAAACCAAAGTATTTCTCTACGTGTAATAATGTTTACATGTATATGATATGTCACCAAGTCCTGTATGTGATAAATTATTCTTATTTTTTTAGTTACGCAGGGACTATATTACAAGCTTGTGATTACACTTGGCATGACCATTGAACAACTATTCCAAGGTTTGAAAAAAATAGGTTTTGCACACATGCACATGCAGTAACTGTTAAATTCAGAAAAAAACATACAAACAGTTCCACAGAATTATGAACCCAACCCCTCCATTAAAAAATTCATATATTGGTACTATGATTCCAGTAACTCTTGTAATTGTTGTTTATTGTACATATAACCAAAAAAATTGACACCTCTTTTATACCCAAATGCACAACTATATATAGCATGAATTGTCAAAAGTGTACAATTTTTGTTTACCACAATTGTATTTGTTGAATCATGATTATCATTAATTTCCTAGTTCACTAATTAGATGTGCATTGGTGAATCACATCACAATAATACAACCTCAATATAGAAAGGGGAATGGTAAAGAAATCCAAATTTTTACTAAAGTGATCCACTCTATCTTAAGCATCATTGCATCTTTTGACCTTTCATCCCTATTCCTAGCTATTCCATGTTTCCCAATAGTTGTAAGGTTAGGAATACCAAGAACAAAGATGATGGTTGGGAATAAGAGAAGGGGAACAAGCCATATGGATTGATTTATCATTTCTTTATGAAAATTCTAGTAATTTTGATATTAAGCATTGCATTCCAAGCATAGAATAGACTTTAAAAGTTTATGTGCCTTTTTTGTATACAAGATTGAAAATTTTCTTTAAATAAAGTTATAAAGAAAAATTGAAATATTGTTAACCACAACATTTTTCTACAATGACCTATTCTCTATTGCAAAAAAAAAAAAAAAAAAAAAAAACACAAAAAAACACAAAAAACACAAAAAAACACAAAACACAAAAAACACAAAAATACAAAAACACAAAACACAAAAAACACAAAAATACAAAAACACAAAAACAAACACAAACAAATAATAATAATAATGATAAATTAAAGGTATGCAACGTATCAATCATGACACACACCATGCCATAAACATAACAAATAATCTCAATACAAATTTTAACTTTATCTTATGCATTTCAACTCAAAGCAACCATACGCACCCTCCAATTGTTGTGGCAATAGAATCTATGGTAAATCCAGAAAAAAGTTATGTCTTTGTTGAGATCATTAAATATAGCCGGCGTTCTCCATAATATTTACTGTAAACTACAATAAATACTATAGCTACAATATTTAGAATCTAGTGGAGAAGTACTATTTATCCTCTCCTCTTTTCTCTTCTTGTATATGAGACACAACTAGATGAACAGATTTTTATGTGTAAAGCTCTCTCTCCTTAGAAACCGTCTTGTGTATATGACTTATTACTACTCTTGTGTGTGTGTATGACTTACTATTACTCTTGTGTTTTTCTAAACATTCTCAACACATTATCAACACAACTTTCTTCTACACACTATCACAATTTTTTGCTCTAATCTTTGACTCTTCAAACCTGTTGCTACTCTTGCTCAATATCTACCTCATGATCTTGTTCTTCTTGCTGGCCCCTCACACATTAACTGCTTACTTACAGCACTTGTTCTACTCTTTGCCCTGCTTGCTTAAAATACTTGATCCAGCCCAACTCCACCCCAGCTTGCTCCTGGCTCTTTGCTGTACCCCGCGCCTGTCGCCAAACTACCGCCAAACAACCGCCGAGCTGCCACCAAACTTGCCACTACCGCTGTTGCCACCCTATCGCCGTTGACGCTGTTGCCCGCCACCATCGCCACCCTAATGCCGCTGCCACTGCCGCTACTGCTGCCACCGCCGCAGTTGCCCGTCACTGCCACCCTACTGCCCTACTGCTACCGCCCTACTGCTGCCTGCTACCGCCATCTTATTGTTGTTCTACTGCCTTAATTTACAATCTCCTTAAAAAATATATATATATATATATATATATATTATTTTTTCAAGTTCAAGTTTATCATTTTATTTGACTTTATATTTTAAGGTACATTTTACTCAACTTTTCTACTTGATCTTGTATTTTCTTTACAGATTTATTTATAATGAGTGCTTCAACATCTTCAAGTGCTTCCACTATGGTTCCAACTATTACCAGGGCATCTCAACATTTTCAAGCTCTTTTATTTCCACCATTGAGTGTAGATGGAAACAATTATCTATTACAGGCAAAAATGGTAAAAGCAAATTTATTTGCAAAAAAACTCTCGAATGCCATTATGTTTGAAGAATCTTCTACAATAAGTATTTCTATACTTCTTGCTATTCGTTGGAAAGCACTTCTCTTCCTTCATTGTCATCTTATACCTATATTACAACATCAATATTTACAAATGGAAGATCCAACAAAACTTTGGAAGAATTTTAAATCTAGGTTTGATCATCAAAAGACCATTTTTCTTCTACGTGCACGTCATAATTGGACACATTTACGTGTCTTGGATTTTCCAAATTTAAATACTTTCAATAGTGAAATGTATAGTATTGTCTCACAATTACGATTATATGGAGAAAGCATTTCTGAAGAAGAAATGATTAAAAAAAATCTCTCTTCATTTCTTCCTATATCTACTCTGCTTGAACAACAATACAAGAACATGAAATTTCAGAGTCATTCTGATTTCATGTCCTATCTACTTCTTACGGAGAAGCAAAATGAGCTACTCTTGCACAATGCGGAAGCTCGTCCTATTGGAACTACAGTTCCAAAATCTCATACACTTAATATTTCAAAGTCTAAGAAGAAATTATATAAACATGGGAAACGTACTCATAAGTATCAAGGTAGTCATAGTCAAGACCATTTCTATCCATATGAAAAGAATAAACGTTCTATTATTAATTATAGTAGAAAATAAAAATCAAATATGCGTTCTTGCCATAAATATGGAATGATTGGACATTTAGCACATGCATGCCGTATTTCAGAATATTTTATTAAAATATTCTAAGAAAATAAGAAATTACGAATTGAGGCTCATGAAGTTCATATCATGGATGTATCCATGGATTCAATTAGTGTTGATGACTTAGAGGCTTATATGAATGATAAAACCTCTAATGATGAATCAAATGATGCGCTCATTGATTCTACAACAACACATACTATCTTGTGAGATAGATGATTTTTTATTGAAAAATCTTCAACTTGGCAAACTAAAAATATGATGACTATGGCTGGAGCAAATGTGTTTTCTTTCCAAGACGGCACAGTGATGGTAAAATCACTTGCGGATTCTATTATAAAATATAAACATTCGATGTTTGCACCCTCAGCACCTTGGAGTCTAATCAGCTACCGAGATGTGCGTATTGATGGTTATCACATCTTGACCACTATTTTAAATAGAAAGAGGTTTTGGTTCTTGCGAAGAACCATAAAGTTGTTGAAAAAGCTTTTGCTATAGAAAATGGTTTATACCGAATTGTGATTCGGCCTCCTATTATATTTAATTTTGCATCATCTATCTCAAAGAGTCGTGTTTTTCTCTAACATGGACGATTGGAACATCCAAGATCCACATTATTTAGAAAGATCATTCCATGTATAACTAGGAACAATTTAAAGCCTGCAGATGTAGACTCTATAGAATTATGTCATACATGTGTGCAAGGTAAAATGATTATTCGGCCTTCAATTTGGAAACTTCCACAAGAATTACCACCAATGCTTGAAAGTTTGCATGGTGATATTTGTAGTCCTATTAATCCAATATCAAGACTATTTCATTCTTTTTTGGTCCTTGTTGATGCATCAGATAAACAATCATATGTTTCATTATTATCAACTCGAAACATGGTGTTTGCCAATCTTATATCTATGCTTATTCACTTTTGGGCACATTCTCCTGATTATCCTATAAAAACATTGCATATAGATAATGCAAAAGAATTTGCATCAAAGTCTTTTGAAGACTATTATACTACAACAGGAATCAAGTTGACATATTGTGTTCCATATGAACATGCTCAAAATGGACTTGCATAGTCATTTATAAAGCGTATACAACTCATTATCCAATGACCCCTCCTTCATGCAAATCTACCTGCATTTATATGGGGTCATGCAATTTTACATGCTGCAGCATTAATACGCCTCCGCCCTTCTTCTCTTAAAATTGTTTCACCACATGAGCTCATTTCGGGTCATGTTCAAAATGTATCTCACTTACGAGTATTTGGTTGCTGTGCTTAGATTCCAATACTAGAACTCAATGACATACCATTGGAACTCATCGACAAGAAGGCATATATGTTGGTTTTGATTTTCCAAGCATTATTCGTATTGTTGATCTATCAATTGGCACATTATTACGTGCACGTTTGTAAAATTGTCGTTTTGAAGAAAATATATTTCCATCTCTTCAAGGAGGAGTATCCAATCAACAAAGAAATAAAGTACTCATATTTGAAGTACTAGAAACGTTTGCAATGAATCCCGACCCTACGACATCTTTGGCAGAAACTAAAGTTGCTAAGATTTTGCATCTAAAACGGATCACAGATAAAACACCTGATGGCTTCAATGATGTACCTAGAATTACAAGAGTTCTTATTAATGAGGCTCAGA